AATTTTCCCGCTACCAATTCGTTCGGACACAAACTACCGTCTTTAACTTTCCAACACCGCAGTAGTGTGAAGCAGTAGATGGATATAGAGTTTGGCATTGTTCCATTTCCCACTGATCGCTTTGTGAACTGATGGTAGAGCTCAGCAAAAGTTTGGTTGCCAGGGCTTTCGGGTAACAAAGCATTTCGAGTCTGAAACAGCATGACGAAGGCATTCTAACCTGACGCCTATTCAACGAGGTGTTGTAACCAGCTCCTAATCCCCCGTGACAATAAAATAGTGCAAAAATATGGTCGAGTCTAGCTTTATCAAAATGCTCTTTACTTCGAGCCCGATTGTTCTTTTCGTAAGTTTAAGGGCTTCTGAAGGCTAAGACATACTCAGAGGCCGACCACCAGCGATTGTCCTGGGGTGAAATGTTCGTCATTGACGAACATAGGAGAATTCGAATTCATCACGGAACAAGGGTAATAATACTCAGCCAATGACCTCAGACTAACCCGTGGTACATTGAAGTGCACATCACTTGACTATGATAGCGCTCATCAAACTTGTTGTCTCTTTTGGAGAGGAAGTTTACGGTTCATGTTAGCGACGATGTACTTATTTCGCACATACCTGAAGTTTTGATGGCATACTGAGACCGTCCGACACTTTTGAAAACCTAGGTAGACCTTATCGACTGCAGTTACCACACCCTCCATTTTGTCCCAGTGGTCCACCGATATAAGCGTGAGTGCTGTTGACGGAAATGTGTTGTTCCGAAGCCACATTTGTGTTTTGCGAGGGAATCCATAACTTTTCGGCTACTGTGTCCTTCATGAATGCGGACATTATCAACGAGTGGGTTTGGATTCGGCGATTGACTAGATCTACTCTGTTGTCAGACTTCAATATTGATTGATTTTTCTACACTCAAAATACCAAGCAGAGTGCAGGTCCCGGACAGACCAGCAACTGAGATACCCCAACCGCGTTTAATCGGGCCCTACTGAATGTTCAGGATCTGAAAGTTGAGCGATCCAAGTGACATCCTATTTTTGTTGTTTGGCTTCCGAGTAGCATCTTTCAACCTAGAACTCCCTCTGTCTATTTATTCATGTGGGTGGACTCCGAACCACCGACACACCGGCGTTCCGCCAATATCAGCACTTCGTTTGGGACGTCGTTCAAAAGCACGAAGCGTGCAGTGACCCTTGCAGCTGGTTGCTTGTAAGCACGTGACAGGTGCAGTATATTATAGAAACTACAAGCATATACGTCAAAAGTACGGCCCAACAACATTCCACGCCAGACAGTGGAACGCTCATATTGATTAGCTACAGAATGTGTGTGTACTGGGGCCAATCGCGGAAACTCATCTTGTGAGCGCACCTCACCTAAATTATTGGATGACCTTCACCAGCTGACCCACATGAAGCATGCTAGAAACGAAGTGTTTTTTTACTAAATCACGTGGAAGCCTTAGAGAGATATTCATAAACTAACTGGAGGAAACAGAGGATGGTGAAAGTTGTAGGACTGTTCAGTTGAGGCATCACATTGACACACATCCAAGGATTGCGGAGTGCCACGTGAGTGTAACTAGATCCAGAGAGTAAGGCGATACTGAACTCATCAAGTTTGACTCTTGTCGGATATTAGGCACATAATGCAATTTAAAATTGCCATAAAAGCCCCACTCTACCAAACGGAACAAAGGAATTTCCCATAAGGAACATGAAAAAACGTCCTCGCGGTAATTTTCTCAAGGGGATTACTGCTGAGGCTGAAAGGCGCAATCCAGTGCAACCCACACGTCAACGAGATGATGCCATCCTAAATTTTACTATAAAATACGACTTAACACCAGGGCGGGGTGAGATGGACCAAGTGGTTAGAACACGAATTTACTGACCGGAAGGTCCATGGTTCGAACCCGACCTNCCCTGTCTAGACTTGGGCAACCTGGCAGTATCCCAGTCCTCGTGTTTCCTTCGTGTGACATGGCAGCTAGGCACCGAAAGGGTGCTGTAGCAGAACGCTTGACACTAGGGCTCCTGTGTATTCACCGCAGTTCGACTCATGGATCATCGTAGCCCATTTTACCACAGTGGCATGGCCAATAGACTCGCGCAGTGTCCTCTTGTGAACAAATCGCAGGCAGGCAGGCGTTTTTGCATCACACTACCATGATCGACAGTACAGCAAGCCTTGTTGAAAATAACCACCACTGTGTACGTTAGGATTCGACCTATGGATGGACTTATCTGCTGTTATCAACTAGTGAAGACCAGCGATCAGAGGGAGAACCTTGAGGGACGGAAGACATAACCAGTGTGTCTTGGGCGCAACAACGAGTAGCACCGTGTTCTTGGGGACCAAACACAACATCCTTGATGGGCTTCAAGGAAATTGTCATAAACTTCACGGTCTAACAAACTAGTCAAGATCAGCATGCTGTAGATGGGGAAGAAACCAGGAACGCCGGGCGGTTTAAACAACAATCTCGCCGAAATGCACAGAAGAACCGCAACCTATGAGCAGCAGTCGGATCAGGAGTGGCCAGCGATTAATCTCGGTCAACTGGTGTTCAAAGTCGTAAAGTTCGATGGCACTATCTGGTTATTAAATCAGCTAGATTAAACATAGAACGATGGAGTAATTTTCATTGGAATTGTTTATCTATAACAAGAAAGTGCCAGTGGTTAGGTACAACTCGCATAGCGATACGACGCGCCACAAAACCACATGACCACCCGCATATGCGAATTCTTTGTGCTCAGAGTACAAGTACTAATTGGAAAAATAAAAGATTAGAAATCCTTTCAGAAGGTCATCCACTGCTTTATCTAGATCTCAGCACTAGCTGAGACCGCTTTCTTCTGGTTAACTTGAAGCCTACAATGCAAAAAGACGGATAACGCAAGCTAGAGCTCGGGTACGCTCGATCCTGTCTGTCTGGACAGGAAGGCATGCGCGTTATTCAGAAGTCAGTGCTTAGTTACGCCCTAAACGTGTTACAGCATCCAAACCCTCGCATTTTCCACGGAAAAACGTCCCACCACTACACCAGATTACTCTCACCGTGCGTCCAATTCAGTCACGCAAGACTGTCATAATAACCATTTGGAGCTTTCACACAGCTCTGAGGGAACCAATCAGTAAGTCCTCCTCAAATTATCACACTAGATCAGTGTCGAATGTCAATTAACGGCTTTTGTCAACTAGCGCGTTTGCCAAAATCTTGAATTGATGAATTGGAGGAGTTTCAAATTAGTTCCGACCGGCTCTTGCTCCTTAATCTTCCACTTCAGGATGCTCCCCCGTCTGCCTAAAAAACCTGGCCAATTCGGCGACCTGTTCACTTGGCCTGATGAAGCTTTTATGTCAAAAGCGAAAGGTTACCTAATTAAAAACTACCGATTGTTTACCGATGACTTCTCAATCGGTTCCAAACGTTTTCCAATTGACTCAGACAAGGATGTTTCATTCGGAAAGATATTGAAGCACGAAATCGTGACCACAACCGGTATACGATGACGGTTTCGACAGCGCGGTTGGGTGGCAGTGTCTGAATGAGACAACCATGATGACGACTCTCTTCAACGCCTTCTCCTTGCTATCTTGCAGGGAGGGTGGTTGCGTAACCCATAACAGAAACAGACTGACGATAAGGAGGCAACTGGTACCATAGCCCAAGTAAACTCAATGTCATCTTGATTGAATTCTGCGCGAATGACCTCACCACCGATGGAACAATTGAGGTTCATGAAGCTGGCTTATTCTCGCACAGGAGCCAGCAAAAACCTCAACATTTCTTACGCTAACATAAAAGTTTGTATGAAACGCAGAGACCAATTTTATTGAATTTTTCTAGAGATGAGCCCGATTCCAGTAAGGAACAGGCCAAAATGCGTGGTCACCAACACGCCTGCTTTTAAATTATAAAATAAGTAGCGTCAAAGCCGGACAGCACCGTGCTAAGGAGTGTAAATAGATTTGCACACAATGACTGATGGGCCTACTACGTATGTTATTACTGTCTGAATAATTATCAAACACCGCTTCAGAAGAGCTTGGTAAGCAATCGGTAGCTTTTATTTGGGCAACGTTTCGCTTTTGACACAAAAGCTTCATCAGTCCAAGTCAAACAACTTCAAACACTTCAATGGCGACATACCACCAAGGAATTTAGCGAGCTAACGGTCAGGGGTAGGCTTGCCATATAGGACGACCGAATGGCCACATTGTGGACAAATACGTCTCTGCACAAAACAAAATCCTATCGAAATGCATGTTGCGGACAAGTGCTCATTCACACGTAGGCATAACGTCGGAAAGCTTCCGACGTAGTAGACGGGGTAAGCCTACCACCCTGAGATCCAGGTGAAGGAAAATCCAAGGGTATTGACGCGCGCAACTTACTTTTCCGTAAGACACAGGGTTAGGCCAAGTTACAATTGTTTGGGACCAATATCCAGGACCACTCGCTGTCCTCATAAGTTCAACTTAATCAATAACTTGGTTTTCATGGTAGTGGGGAAGAAGACACGGTTATAGCGAATTCGAAACAGCTCCCCGCAATGATGGTATACGTTGCAAAAGAATTCCGCCCGGTCATTCAAGTCACGCTAAACGGTTTCGTCAGCGTGTGGCTTGAACAACCCCTGCTAAATTCTGACATAAGAACCGGATGGAGGGTGCGCCGGGCAACTGGCCATCTTTTTTTCCCAATCTCTGATGGTAAGGAAGCAGTGGGAGAGGCGGTTTGAAACTGGTACTAGTTCAGCCGAGTCGTTACGACAGAAGCTAATAGCTGAATGACAGCTGGGTCATTCTCATGATTAGCTGAACAATTTGACGCACAGTGCTCACTGGTCCACGATGATGAACCAGATGGGGACAGCTCGAAATCCCATGCTGAGAATTCCGTGAACGAGCCAACCCTACATCAGGTGTTTGGAATGGTAGGAAAAACTGTCCCATCCACTTCCACCCGAATCCCCAAGTACGAACCGGTTTGGTGGTAGAAAATGACAAATTATATTGTTCTGTGGTTGCCGACATACAAAGACCACATGGTATCAAAAGATATTAAGAAAAGCAGTTAAGTAAAAGAAAACGAACACAGTAGATAAAAGAGACGTCGCACACATTTGGAAATATCGGTCGTATCAAGAACAGAAAGGAACGCATACTAAGAACGGTGCGAGTGCCCACACCCTCTCTCCTTAACACACCCAAATGAGCTGGTTTGAGGAAGCAAGGGAGGATGGTTGGTGCACACGCATGCGATTTGGTCAGCGGAATGTCATATGGGAGTAGAGAAACCAGCACAAATACTGATTGAATCAAATCCATGCAACGGTGCAAAAACAGCAAGGTAGAGAAAAGTCACCTGCGTGCACGTACTCGGACCGGAAGAAGAGATGCACAACACCAGCAGAGCCGCCAACGGAAACGGCGACACGGCTGCGCAAATCAATCGAGGTAAAAATTATGTGTATATTTATATACGTAGAAAATACGGGATGCGCATGAGGAGATGGAATAGCGGAGCTGATCGCTGGCAGTAAAAAGCACACACTCCACAAAGGTAAAATTTGGTGCCGAGATACTAGAAGGTAGACACATGTTCATTGAGGTCAGGTCATGCGCATGAAACCTGCAAAAAGTTGCATAAGGGGAAACGAGACCGCAGTTAGGTTTGATCAAGTGCTTGGAGGGCGCGCGAGCGCGCGCGGAAGTAGTATTCGGTGTGCATTAGTGGAATCGCAGGAAGAGCACGAAAAAAACAGCTAAGACGCATCGAGTGAACATTGGGAGGCGGCGATGAGGAAGATCGTAAAACGGGAGGTGATAGAGGAAGACTGGATGACACGGGTGGGAACGTACGACGTTTCAAAGTGGATGAGTTGGCAACCGGGAGTAGTATTGCGATAACCGGTGTAAAACATGTGTTCAAAACACGACGGAAAATACAGCAGCATTGCTAGCATAGCCCTGCACAGATGTATTGGAGTTGTGAAGCGACAATGTATGGTATGAGAAGAAACGGGATTTGGAGTGATTTCAAGTTATTTGGTGAATAAAAGATAGAGAAGACAGTAAAGTCCGGGCCTAAAAGAGAAGGAAAACCAGGTGGATGAAGTGTGTGTGTGTGTGTGCGTGAGAATCCCGCGTTCGATGTGGTTCTTCGACGCAAGATGGCTAGAGTGGGTGGGTGGGCGGGGGACAGAGATACGAGGTGGATGCAGAAATAGGGGCACACTCAACTTGCAAGTTCCGGTGGTGGTAAATGGTTGGCGGACAAGATGGTCGTGTCACCTGTTGATGAGGGTTGAATGGTATCCATGCCAGGAACCATTAACATCATGGACAAGGTATGCCCAGATGATTGTGGAATGGAAACAGTAGGCAGATGAAGACAGTCGTCAGATGACCGGATATACAGTTCATGGTCTGGATCCATTGACGGAGATAAGGCAAGGGGAGGTAGTTGATTGGAATCGGTCGTTGATGAACACGCGTCATCGTTGTAGGCTGTTGGCTGATAGCCTGGAGTTGAAGCGAACTCGGATGGTGGAGTGCTGCAATTCGATGATTTGGTTAGGCGTACAGACGGGGATGAATTCAGATTGGCCGCGGAACGTTTGCGTGCTTTCCGTGAACTCCCACCACCAGTCCCCACAATGGCAGATTTACCCGTTACAGCAGCTACCAGACCGGAGCCCCCGTTATGATCCTGACCGTCGACAGAATAGACTGTCCCGGAGCCGGTCACCGTGAGACGACCAAAACGGCGTTCGTCCTTACATTTCTGCGCCATTCGGGCACGGACTGCTGCAGCTGGTTTATTGAATCGTTTTCGAATGGTGCCTAAAGTGAGAACGAGTGTGAAGTGTGAGCGAATACAGGGTCAGCAAACAATTGGGCAATAAGTAGAGGGACGGCTGGCAGCCATAGAAGGATGATGCGCTGGTTGACTGAGGCATGCATTTCGTCTTACAATAAACGAACCTGATTCTGATGGCGGTGGAATTGATCATCAAAGGGCACTAGAGTCCCAAGTCTCAAACAACAACAAGCGCTTCTGTGGTCTGTGTGTCACTAAAAACGCAGTTCATGGGACAGAGGGCAGTATTGGGACAAGCCCAATATCGATAACAAAGTTGGTCTAACTGGGTAACAGACCACTAAAACTAAAACTTGAGTTCCAAATTCTCCAGAACACCTGCGTGCAAAATGACTCATCATTACAACATGTCATCTCCCTCTCTTTACCTTTTTATTTAACAGCCACCACTAGAAACGGGTACAGAGAACGAGGAAAAAACGGTAAATTGAATCGGTGTACCGTACAAAGTAAAACTGCATGGAACACGAAAGGATGGATAGTCCGGACATTATCCAGACAGATTGGCAACTATTTGCGAGTGTAAACAGACAAAAGACATTTCTAACGGGGGTGGAGTCAAAATAAACATGAGGCAGAATTGCAGCACGGTACAGTTATGAATCCATAATGACGTAATAAAGGTACCCGGATCGATAGGGTATTTTGGCGACTATGGTGGACTTGTTTAGGGTTTCATCATCTGAAACCACCGCACGCTCTCAGCGACAAATATCAATACAAGTAACAGTTGTTTTTTTCATTCAAAAACAAAACCAACGTACCCCGGTATGGCTACTAAAAATTGACTGCCTTCCTAACTTAAGTGAATCATTGATATTAGGCCACATTAAACAGTTCCCAGAACGTGTTGATCAGACACGACAAATTCACCGTATACTTCGCATACCAGGAGAACAGTCTCTCTTACAGGATCATTTTTGGACCACTGATTCAAAGCGATGAACGAAGCACACAAGTTTTAACCAGCGAATATGGAGATCTTGGAACTGCACATACGAGGAGTTCGGATCATTGAACGATATAGCCCAACGACATGGACAGGGGCCCCCATGCATCAAAGCTACCGTCTTCAATGAATGACTATTTACAACACTCATCAACGAGTTATTGGCTATCACCTTTTCTCAACGGTATCTGTAATGAACCGTGTTATGAGACAGACTGCGTTGCCTACCCAATCACGATACCTGGAAAACCATAAAGGATAATGACGGTGCTTAAAAAAAATCAAATCATTCAGCTGTACCACCCTTTCGGTGCCTAGCTGCCATGCGACACGAAATAGGCACGAGGGCTGAGATATTGCCAGGTTGCCCAAGCCTAGACAGGGGAAGTCGAGAGGCAGAGGTCGGGTTCGAACCATGGACCTTCCAGTCAGTAAATTCGCGCTCTAACCACTCGGTCCATCTCATCCCCTTACATGTTTATTATGTTACTGACCGTCACCACTTGTCTGGATATGGGTGTTCTCAGGCTAGTGAGAAGATTTACCGACTTCTCGATTCCGAAATTAATCAGTATGTACAGTTTATGTATTCTCTATCGCCTTCTGAAAGGGGAACCCGCCCTGTAAATGAGACATTGTATTTATTCTGTGAATCTTGACTGTGAATTCGGGCTTGATAATGCAAGATATTTTCTTCAGGCTCATCAGTCCATTTGTAGCCGCGCCAACGGAAAGCAGCAAGAAAAAGACAATGAGCCTCCGCACTACCACTGGTTGTGTTATTGGACGAGCTAAGTGGATGGGAGCAGAAATCGGCGGTCACGCTGCTTCCTTCAGAGTTAAAAAAAGTTGCCCCCCACCCCCCAAAAAACCGCACGCGTTCACCGCCAGCGATGCGTTCGATACTGTTGAAAAACAGCTAAAATCTACGAAGAGTGACTCCAAATACGTTCGCAAGATGAAACGGCATCATGGGTGAGACATATCTAACTTAGTCTCTGGGGGCTCAAGTGGTTAGAGCGCGATTTTACTGACCGGAAGGTCCGTGATTCGAACCCGGCCACTGCCTCTCAACTTCCCTGTCTAGGCTTGGGCAACCTGGTAGTATCCCAGCCCTCGTGCTTCCTTCGGATAGCATGGCAGCTAGAACACCGGAAGGTGTTACAGCTAAACGATAGTCTCTGTACCCTGTTCCAGTTCTCCAAAAACCAGTAAATCTGGCTCCAGATGTTGTCCCTTATAAAATACCCACTACCAGCTGCTCCTCGGGATCAACTTTTCAGTCAAGAGCTCAGGGATGGATACCTAAAAACAACCCACTAGCATGGGTGGCCAGGATTTGTCATAGTGCTTGTAGCTCTCTGCTCACCTACCCTCACCCACATTCCATCCCCCCTCTTCAACTAGTTTATTCCAGTCTAATTGGCTATTAAACACCCAACTAGTATCCCACGTCTAGGGCAACGAGTACCTTTGCACAAGTTTTGCCTTTCCTTTCGTATCATAAAATAACGCATTAGTGCTTGATGAGTTATCGCCTCATAAGAGTTATGGGCACCAGACCCCCGGGATATAACAGAGGACAGGAGATAGGAGAGGAATCTTACTATCCAAAGAATGTCCTTGAGGCATCTGGACGATATCAACGTTTGGTTCATTGTAAAGGTCACACTAATGAAACTGACAGACATCAATTATCGATCAAGTAGGCAGAGGAGTTGTGGTGAAACAACATGAACTCAAATGAACAATTGCATCCGCGGTAGCCCAGTCGGTAGCGAAAGATCGCAGGTTCGAGTCCCACTCAGGTACTCTGTTTTTTCGTTTCGATTTTCATTGGGTCCACGTTTAAGATTTTTTCCCATCCGTCTCTTCTACATCAATCGAAGTTTAATTCCGGAACCCTCTGGAAGCTGAACCAAAGACAATCAAGAACCGACTGGAAAAACTGACTCAAACAACTTTGTGAAGTATCCAAGAAGCCGTCGGCTCGTTGAGAATCGCAACGGCGCAGTCATTGAGTTCCTACTGGAAATTCTGAGAGCCCACCAGTTTTATAAAATCGACAGATGGGGTCCCCTAGACACTCTTTTGAAGTCAAGATGTTCGCCTTTATAACATTGAAAGTGTCGCTTTAGTTCCATACTGAGAAAGAAATAATGATCGACAACCGAGTAGTATCACAAGCAATTAGGGAGCAGCATTCACCCACGGATACTAGTGTATACAAACGAGGTCAAGCAAGCTCAATCCACAGCCGTCATGTGACTCTAAAGCAATGATCGCTTTTGGATCGATGTTACAAGGATTAGGTCTTGCTAATGTAAAGTGAACACAATCATTAAGAGCAGTCCTGCTCATAGGTCTTACCACCTTCTTTAGTTGGAAGGCTTTAACACCCTGAGAGCTCACCCATCAACAAGGGTGGGGTGGGTAGCTTGTAAACCAACGTTGAGTAACTCTGAATCTGCACAAATATCACTAGCGGCTCTAGATTCAGCCCTAGTTTTAGAGCGGTGTTGCATCGTGGGAGGGGGGGGGCACCGCTGTGTGTATTGATTAACCACGTAGTGCAAGCAACAGTGGACATGTAGTATGTAAATCAACCGAAAATAATTGCTTTGGGTTCTCCACCGCAACAAAACAACAACAAAAGCGGGCTACGCATGTATCATTGTGGGCTACTGTTTTGCGCTTGCTTTGTTTTGCTTTTTTATGTTGTTTACCAGGGCGAAAAAGTGTAGTCAGTAAAGCTCTAGCTATGTTGTAACTTTTGGTTGTGTTTGCATCTGTTTGAACACTAGCGTGCTGCCTATGTGTGTGTGTGTGTGTGCATCCAGATGGATTTACACGCAAAACGGACACTTTAACGGACTGTTCCTCTGTGCGGTTCCTCTTCACGTCCATAACTATGTCCCACATTGTAAGGAATCATTCGGCCCAGCTGTTGCCACTGATTACACAATCCGGCATGAGTGAACACTAAGAAATAAACATCACGCATAAAGGAAACCACTCACAAGGTTGCTGAAAACTCTTCGACAGCCCAAGACCGGTTTCTCCCTTCATGGGCCCAAATTGGTTTACAAATGAGTGTATTTCTCGAAAACAATCCAATTTGGGTTCAAATGGATCATAAGGTTGACGGGAACATGAGGACTGCGCCTACCTGATGAGCCCCAAGAAGGGGCGAAACCGGTCGTGGGCTGTCGAAGAGTTTCCAGCAACCTTGTGAGTAGTTTCCTTTATGAAAATATACTGCGATATCGAGAATATCGTGCCAACTGAATCATGAGGCGGCCTGTGTGCAGCACATTCAGTTGTAGAATATCATAAACGAGAGATTCAGTTGAGTCTCTCGTGAAAACCAAACTGATTTGCAAATGAGTGTATTTCTCATAAACACCACTCATTTCCATTTGCATCACACAAGTACCTCACCCTAATGTTCCCACGAACACTGAATCCGACTTTGATGCGACCAATGATTTCATTTTACGTCAAAATGGGCTCTAAAATAAGAGTTTCTGTAGTTCTAAAGGGAAACGCCCTGTTACGCACTAGGACAACCTTTACTGTCCAAGTTGACCAACGATCGCAGTTCAGTCCTGGGTGTGTTTGACAAGCTGTGACCAAGAAAAAAGTCCGAAAAATGGTCGAACTGGTGCTGCGGACTAGATCTCCCATTTCGGTCGTCTGAGGTAGCATCAGTTCTGAGGAACAGTCGATCTCTTGTAGCTGAGAAGCTTCGTTAAGGAGAGTGGGTATTGAGCCTCGAACTAACTACCCGAGTCGGTTTATCAACTCTGAACGGTAACCCGGTCATGTTTGCACTTGCTCTGTCTCATGCGACGCAACCTCATCGGTGAAACGGGTTCGCTCTCTGACTGACCGGATTGCACTCCGAGCATACGTGACAAAACATATGAGCTTCGCCATAGCCACTAGGGCCTAACAGGACTAATCCTCAGTGCAGACGCTTTTGGCGATCGATGAGACGGGATATCATTGTAT